ATAAAATGCAGGTAATTAATAGTTTTGGTCAGTTGTTGTAATAATCTAACGCATAATGTAGAGTCAACAAGTGTTTCTTCCTTTATTCTTGACTAGAATAAAAATCCTTGTAGACAAGAATATTGATCAGTGAGCCCAGAAGTACTTAGCACTCTGCAAAGTAGATGTGGCTTTCACCAACCACCCAGTAATAAATAATATTCACTGTTGTTCACAGTTTGGGTATGATATGGTTTGTGTCTAGTTGTTCACCAAAGCCTCATGCAGTCACAGAGCAACTTCTGGAGTTTGTGACTGATTATTGTGGGTGTGGGTGCTGCACCAGCCCTGGGGCATGTAATCTGCAATACAATGTAAGGAGAGGAGAGAAGCTAACTACCCGCTGAAGCTGCTGCCACTCTCTTTGCACACTGCTCTTCACCATCACCACGACTCTGCCTTGTGCCACTCTGCCTTTGAGCCAGCTGAGCATAGACTGGAACTTCCACTAACTGTGCACTAAATAAACCTTTCCTTTCTTAATTTTGGGTGTCGGGTGTTTGTCCCAGCAACAAGAGAAGAGGAACTGAGATGGTAATACGACCTTTATTTTCAGAAGGCACACTCTGTAATGAATGTACTCATGTATATTTCAGCAGTGATTGATACGGTGTTAAGAGTGTGTTGGGCAGAATGCTCCTTTCCCAAAATGTCCATCCTCCAACCCTCAGAATACATTATACAGCAAAGGAGAGATTTTTTAAATGAATTAGAACCTGGAAATGAGAAGATTAGATAATCTGGGGCCAATACTATCACAAAAATTCTTAATAAAAGCAGAGAATCTTTCTTCATTATAGTCATGAAAAGAGACAAAAAGACAGAAAAATGATTAGGGAGATCTAACACTATTGGCTTTAAAAATGGAGAGTCTAAATATGAGCCAATGACAGAAAACACTAGAAGTCAGAAAAGAGAAGAAAACAGATTCCAGTTAAGTCTCCAACAAGAAAAACAGGCTGCTGATAACTTAACCTGTTGGAATTCTGAACTTGCGATCAATAAGCGAATAAGTTTACATTGATTTCTGGCATTAAGTATGTGATAATTTGTTAAAAGCAAAGGAGAAAAGTAAGAGTTTCATGAACTGGATCATACATAAGTACTTCCAAATATTTAAGGCATATGTAAAGTCATTTCGTAATATGAGATATTGAAAATCACTGAAAATTAAAACAACCTTTAAAAATACAATTACAAATTAAAAAACTTTAAATATCACTTTATTTTACAACCATTAAACATTAATCAGAAACAATGAAAATATAAATTACTGTGTCTTTCTATAACAAGTAATTATAAACTATTTGGGAAAGTTATAAACATTTTATAAATATTATTTATAAAATATTATATACATTATTTATAAATATTAGTATACCATGCTTGCTTCACAAAGGACACACCACTAGTAACCCTGCCCAAACAACAGAACAAGGCTTATAAGTTGCAGAGTCAGAATACATTTCAGAGGGCCAGCCAAATAGCTCAGAAGATAAAAGCACCTTCAACCAGACACAGGGGCCAGGGATTGGATCCCGGGACCCGCCATGCCAGTCCTGCCCCCAGGGTGCGCAGAGAGGGCAACTGAGACAGGTAGTAGTGGCATGCGCCTGTAATCCCAGCTCTTGGGAGGCTATAAACAGCAGAATCACTATGAGTTTGATCTAGTAGTGACAGAAAGCCCCGTAGACCCCTCCCTAAAATACAAAAAAAAAAAAAAAAAAAAAAAAAAAAATTGAGTCATGCTGGCTCCAGAGTTCACTTTTCTGTTTTTCTTGTAGAAGTGGGCCTTTGTACTGAGTTACATTCCCAACCCTCTTATTATATTTTATTTTGAGCCATGGTCTTACTAAATTTTAAGTTGTCCAGGCTGGACTTGAATTGCCAATCCTACATTAGCCTCCCAGAGTGCTGAAACGATAGACACATGTGCCACCACGTCTGTCTCAGTTTCCAATTTTAATTCCCAATTATATTTCTTTCAGAGAATCATAACCAAGTTGTAATATGCATCACCAATAAATTGCTTTATAAATCTTTTATAGTTACAAAAATCTATGTATTCTTTATTATTTTTTCCAAATCAGTCATTCCATAATCCTATCTATAAACCACAGGCATTAAGGCAAAGAAGAGAATAAAACAGCTTCCCCCCCAAGTTTGTAGTGAGAAAGGGAATTACACTCTATAAAAAACGAGTTCATTCAGGCAAAATCATCTCTATGACCCCATTCTCAATGAGTTGATGCTTTTTTAATTTTTTTTTTTTATTTTTTGTATTCTAGGGAGGGGTCTACAGGGCGTTCTAGGTCTCACTTCTAGATTGGACTCTATTTGGCCAGCCAGAGCTTATGCTTTAGAAGTTAATAAACAAATACGTGGTATCTAGACAGAATAGGAATTTTCCATATGCCAAAAGGCATACGGGAAGGTACAATGTTTGCACGAACTGGAAGCAGGAGAACTAAATGGTTTGAAGAAAATAGAGGAAGGGGAGTTTTGTATTTTATAAAGATCACTCCAAAAAGCAGCCAAGTTAATGAATCTGAAGCATAGTAAGGCTGGTGGCCACCAATTTGCTACAAGAGAACTTAAAACTGCAGTGGTAATAAGCGTTTGAATGAAGGCAATGGTAGCAGTAATTAGATGAGTTTAGGTTTCAAACAGTATTGGAATTATATGCTATGGCCCACATCTGCATAAAACCTCCAGTATCCCTTATTAGACAACAGAAATAAAAGCAAGTAGTAATAATAATAAGAGAACAATGACACATTTACCCACGGATGTCTCTGTAAAGAGGCATAGGAATGACAGAAGACATATTTGGAGTGTATGAAAGCTTTTCATTTTCTTCTAAGGAGTCTGTACATTGTCTTGGGACAACTAAAATTATCTCAATGCCTGAAACCTGTGAATATGCTACCATACTTCTACAAAATGGAAGTGAGGTTGTAGACTTTGACATGGTAAGAAGAAACCTAATCAAATGGATATTTTCTAATTTTTATTTTTGCAGCACATAACTATACTCCTCATAGGAAGTTGGTAAATGTACACAAAACATCTTCATTCCTTTTTCCATCCCTTCCCCCTCCCTCCATCTCCTGGACACCTTACTTTCACAAAATATGTAGCCTCCAATTTGCTATTATCTTTTATTTTGTACTTTATTTACATTTTCCGTTTCTCATAAGAGAAATCAGGTTGGGAGGCTGAGGCAAGAAGATCTCTGTGAGTCTGAGGCCAGCCTGAGCTACATAATCAATTCAAGACTAGCATGAACTACTGTAAGACCCTGTCTCAAAAAACTGAAAACAAATAAAGACCAGAGAGAAATCATATGGTACTGAAGCTTGTGTGTCTATTTTACTTCACTTAATATTATGGTCTCAAGGTGTATCTATTTTCCTACAAATGCCTCAAGTTTATTTTTGTTTTTCAGGAGAATGTATGGACACCACATGTTCTTTATTCGGCCATCTTTGATGGGCATATAGGTTGATTCCATCTGTTGATTTTTTAAAGGCTATAGCTGGAAAGAATAATGGAAAAATAGAAGGTAAAAGGATCTTAACCAATCATTGCTAACAATTGAGGACATGGGTCTAAACTAAGGAATGGTGGCCTCCAAAACCTGGAAATAGACCTTAGCTGAGAGCAGGGAAAAAATAATTTATTCTGACAACAGTAAGAGCCTAAATTTAGCCAAAATAGTAAGTGATCAAGAAACTAGATCAAGAAACTTCCCTTGATCATCCAGAGAAAAGGAGGTCTGTGGGCAACTTTAGTTTCATCCGCTGAGGTCCATGTGGGGCTTCTGAGCAGCGGCCCTATAAGATGATCAACTATACATTGTTCCAAGATTCTTGAAAATTTGTTACAGCGGCAATGGTAAAAGACTCAAATATACTGATTGTTGATTTATGAACAATGTAATATGCTAATATAAATTCACCTAAAGTCATCGATTGTGAACAGTTAGAGGCATAAATCAATGTCTTCTTTACATTTTTATTATTAAATTCCTCAAAATAAACTCACTAAAACACAAAGAGGATATCCTATTATAAATGTTTCTTTATATTTAGATATGAGGAAGTATTTTTTTCTTTCTCATAGTTAATAAATTGAGTCTATACTGATTTTTGTTAGTATTTCTTAAGCCCTGAGACAAGCTTATGCCTGTAGGAATATATAAATTCTAGGTTTAAAACAACTAATGTGTTCAAAACAACTACAATTACAGAGGTAAACCATTTACAACAAAACACTTTCTGTCATTGTCTATGCATTTATTGTTTCTGAATTGACAGGGATTAGCACCTAAAAAGCAAAGGGCATCTCTCTTTTTTTTGTGATTCACGTTTTTATTGACACAACCTAGTAGTATTCCTGAACCCAGAAGACTTCTGTTAAATAAACTAATGTAAATAAACACATTTTAAAAACAAGCATAAAGATACTGGATACAAAGCTGCCCTAAAAACAGCTTACTAGCTCACTGCAGAATTAAACATATGCTATAGTATACTCTATGTAGGTTAAACCCAAAACTTTAAAAAAACTTAATACCAATATGTAAAAAGCTGTGTTTTCCATTTAATTCAAATTTCTTGATAATTTGATGTTTTTATTATATTATGATGTCCATGTGACCCACAAGGAATTCCACGAAGTAGAACTGTTTGCTGAAAATATCCTCTATGTCAGCCTTTTTTGTTTTTGTGGGGAAGGTCTTTCCTCACCTCATAAAATTAAGTGAAGCAGTCTATTTGTAGGCTACAAGAACAACAATAGGGTTGCCTTCCTTTAGAACTTTTGATTGAAAGATCTAGTCCCTCTCAAACAGCTTTTAGTTCACATACGTAATTTTAAATTTTTCAAAATATTTTCAACATAGAATCAATATAAAATTAATGAGTATTTGATTTCCCTTTATACCATGTTCTAGAAACCCTGTACACTGTGAGCACATCTCAGTGCAGGCTCAGCCAATGGCCACATTCATAGGTATAGGTTTAGAAATTCTTCACTCTTGCCCTAAATCAAACTACATACCCTGTCATTTTGTAGCTTCCACTTCATAAAAAATAGTCCTGTTACAACTAACTTCCTCTTCACTCATTCATTTTCATACCTCACTTGTACTGGCGGGTTCATCTGGTGGGAAGGACTTTCACCACCATCTTCCTCCTCAGGCCATTTTTTCCACCCAAGTACAGAAAGCTGCATCACATTCCAGGTATGTGATGTCAAACTGTGTATCCTTAATGCAAAAACGAATTCATGTTAGGATTAATACATTTTTTACCTTGCACATAACATTTTATATTAGGAGTAACTCTTGTCTCACAAGGAAAAGTCCTCAAATAAAATTTAAAAAGCTTTTCTGCAACATTGCTTCTCCAAGACAAACTCTTACTGCTGAAGTTGTTCTAGGACGGACTGGGGGGCGAGAAGAACGTTCTTAAACCTAGAAGCGCCGCGCCTCTAGTCTCGACTGGGCCCCATCCGCCCAGCAGCGGAGGCGCTCGGCCGCGAGCCCCGCAGGCGAAGGAAGCGGCGACATAGCCGCCGGGGGGCGCCGCCCTCGGACTCCACCCACACGCTCTCCCGCGAGCCGCCCGCGCTGCCAGGACCGGCCTCCGAGTCTACACGGCGGACCCCGCGACCCCCGCTGCCGAGCTCCAGCTCCCCGCGGGCGCCTGGGGCTGGAGGCCGCCTCTCTCCTCACGGGGTCAGCCCACAAGGGGGCTCCTGAGGGCGCGCGCCGAGACCACGAGGTGCCGAGGCGCCCCGCAGCCATGGGGCGGCGCTTCCCCGCCGGCCGCTGGGGCGTTAGGAGGCAAGGAGTAAATTCGGGACAGCCCTGGCCCTCCCGCGGTCTCGACACACCGCCGCCCCTACCGCCTGGCCTCTGGCCCGGTGTCGTCGCGTTCGCCACTCTTCTGCCAATCAGAAAGCGTTTTCCTAGCCAATGACAATGCTCGGGGTGGCCCCTTCGGCTCCTCGGCTCCTCGGCCCTTCGGGTGCTCGGCCCTTCGGGTGCTCGGCCTTCGGCTCCTCGGCCCGGCCCTTCGGCTCCGCCGAGTCCTTCGCTGAGCCCACTCTGGCGTTCCGTTCTAGCTCTCGCTGGGATAATCCCCCCCTTTATAACCACTTCCGGGTCCTGCGTCGCTCCGGAAGCCCGCAAATTCCGGAAGCCAGTGTAACCTTGCTTCGGCTAGAAAAAGGGAAGGTTTCCAGAGAATGTTTCTGAAAAAGTTACGCGGAGCGTGGGCGGTTCGCAGACTCCTAAGGTCAGTGTCTGCCCGAGAGCCAGCCCAGGGCTGCCCGGCGCGGGAGGTCCCAAGCGTCGCGACCGTGTGACGCTCGCCCTGGTCCAGCAGCCCTGTTGACTGGCGTCGGAAGCAAACCAAACTTCAATTTCGGGAAGAGCTCTAAAGCAGATCTAAACTCCTAAAAACTTCCTTAGAATCGCTCCATTAAGAAAATCAACACACCGAGTCTCTGAATTGCATTCAGTGACATTTTAGAGGCAAACTTGAAATACTTTCCCTCGCTCTTGGAGGCCGCTCGTCCAGATACTTATTATGAACAGTTTAGATCGTTCAGTATCCAGTCTTCATATTTTTATAAAATACGAGGGTTCATTCTACAGAGAGTTATGTGTTTGCTTTTATACCGAAAGAAAATGGGTGTAACCTAAGTATTTTGCGTTTTTGAGAGTCCACAGACTTAAAAACCAGTTTTAGTTTTCTGATGGTGAGGAGGTGATAAGAATTTTATTACAGAATCGCTTGTGAGAAGCTTTTCATTGACTTACGGAAGTGACAGTCATTATCATTTTTTCTGAGACCATAAAGATTGTTGTTTATTTAGGTACCATTTTCCATACCCCGGACATTTAGCTTAAGGGCTTTTTACGAACAGAGATGAAGTTGTTGAAATTCTGTATTGTGACCAGGCGCCTCTTGGTGATTTGTTATCTTGGGTTTTGAGCAGTTACAGGGAGCCTATGGCTAACCCCGCACAAAAACACACACAGTTTTGTAAACACTTTCCAACTAGTGTGTCATCTTGATTTAAATCTGAACAGAATGAATTTGGGGTGAATGCCTTTTCTTTTATTTCTTCTCTGATCTCTTCCATATTAGGAGTTACTGGATTAGAATTTCGTTATTTTGAACCAAAAGACTTGGAAGAAAAGAAACTGCAAAATTAATTACAGAGTCAACAAAAGAACCTTCTTTTTTCTTTCTTTAAAAAGAAAAGAAAAAAAAAAATGAAAGCAAACAGGACATAGAATTCAATACTAAACAAAAATCAAGAGACTGAGGTTCTAGTCCTGATTTTGGCTGGCGTTTGAGCACCTTTGCTTCTTGGCCTTATTCACCTCATTCTTAGAAGTTAAAGGTAACATTCAGTCTGTGGTTTTAAACTTGTTCCATCAAAGAACTGTAGAAATTTCCTGGAACCATGCTGAGGAAAGACAAAGCAATCATACTCGGTTGTATTTTAAAAAGGGCAGTTATTTATGTGTTCCTCTTTTATAATAGCGTTCTTATGAAAATTTAATTTATACCATCTAATCTACTTTTCTTTCTAGCATTAAAATTATGTTCCTTAGGACAGGTATCATTTGTATTCAACATGCACTCACTTGATCATTACAGTTTTCTAAAATTATGCCCATATTAATTTTATTTGTTTTATAGATATGTTTCAAGTCCTTTTTTGTGATCAGAATCATAATTCCTTATTTTCTTTATTCCCCATACTCAGCCATAAAAGTTTTGCTCATATATAGGGCAGTTAATTTCCATTTTACAAGTTCAGGAGCTACACCTTAAAATCTCAAAAATGTTAGCCAGCTAGTCTGCCTACCATGAGAGCTTTGTTAAGGTTCTAGGTCCTAGCCCCTTGCTTTCCTCACAACATCAAGTAACCTCAAAGTTACTATGTCGCCCTTGCATACCGGAATGCAAGTGATAATTGTGTGCAGGCTCCTATAGCACTAGGAAAATATGTGCTATATGCACAATCTTTATTTCTGGATGAAAGTTCTACTCTGAATTTCCATTTTTCCCCCTCTTGATATGGATTGGACAACCAAGAAGCAATTGTATGTTTCCTTTATCTTTTTGCTATGAAATTATAGTATATGTAAATATTCTGTGCTCCACATCCATTCCTTCATGATATATAAGAAACCTAAGGAGAAAAATCCTGATCTGCTCCATTTACCCCATCTCTGGTGTCCAGGCACTGACTTTTTAAGCCTAATCCTGTGGTTTGTGTACTTAAGTGGCAAGGAAGATAATGCCTGTTGATCTTTCTGATATGTGCCCAACTATCAAAATACCCTTTTCTATATTGCTTCTCTAATATATTTTCTTTTTAATCAGAAATTTTCCTTCTTTACCTTCCTGAAAAGAAGGTGAAATAAAATTTCATCCAAGTGGGGCTTTCTTGTTTCTTAGTATTAAAAGACAAAAACCAATAAATAGCTCTAAAGTAATTCTGTTTTGATCATGCCTTTCCAGAGTTCACTGGATAAAACTGGCATGTTTGTAATAGTTAAAATGAATGGTCACACCTCATTTTTTATCTGTGTATTTCCTTTGTTCAAATTTGACAGTAAATCCTTTCGAATGCTTCTGTGACCACCTGTAGAGAGAGAAAAAGGGGAGGGAATGTAGATGTCATGCATCCTAGTCAGTTTGGGCAACTTCACCACATCTCTATAGTTTCTATTCCCATCTGTTGTAAAATTGGAAATTGTAATTGAATAACAAAACAAAAACATTTGCTGTGTGTTTTGTGGTATTAAATTTTATCAGAGTGTACTAAAGACCCATTTTTCTAACTTCTTAAGGAGAGTTCCTCAATTTTTCTAATATTTACCAAAACTTCACTGATCTACAGCCTGAATTTAGGTGGTTAATCTTCTTAAACTTGAATCTTTATCTTTTTTAAAAAATAGAGATGATAATAATACTGTGTTATGAGGCTGCCATGAGAAAATGTAAAGGACGTATATAGTTCTTCACACATAATATATGCCACATAAGTAGTCCTTTCTATTCCATTGTTAATGCCTATTGTTCTTTTGGGGATATTTCCACTTTTTCTTGTGCCATAAAAGGTGCAGTTAAATATGCAGTCTACTAATTTTCAAGTCATTTGAAATTCTCTTCGTAAGCAAGTACATTCTAAGACTCTTCCCAAGTTTATAGAATATAGTATTTTTTAAAGATCTAGTTATTTCATGTGTTTAATATCCTTGTTTGCTAATTCCTGAATTATTTTGTAGTACATCATGCCTCCACTCTAAGATGCCTCTTATCTGTGAGTCTTGCGGTACCACCCTAACGTATTTATTTTTTCCTAATAGACCTATCACTGCTTTGTCACTCAGTTCAGAGTTCTTCCACTTTTATCAGTGTAGTTTTACACACATGGGATAATATTTCTGTCCCAAACATCCTTAGTTTAGAGTAGAAAAGAACATCCTGGTGTTATAAGGATTGAATGATTATTTAATTTTGTGCAAGGTAGTTAGCTGTAGTAGTCAATTAGCACTTAGTAACCGGTGATTGCTGTGTGCTTACTACTATTACAAACTAACAAGTTCCTTGAGATTCTCTTAATGCCCAGCTCTTATTTGGAATAAAGAATCTTTCCTATATGCCCTGCTCAGATTTCTCTACTTTATCCTTTCCAAACATGTTGTTGAAGGGCCAGGGAGATGGTTCAGTGGAATAAGCGCTTCCCTGGCCAGTGCAAGGGCCTGAGTTCAATCCCCAGTTCTGCCAAAAAAAAAAAAAAAAAAAAAAACCATGTTGTTGAAACTAATATTGTTCAATATTACCATTTCTGGAATTGAAAGTGGCTTTAAAAAAAAAAAAAGAAGCAAACCTTCTTCCAAGGTTTCTTAATTTCTACAGGGATTTTTAGGTAGACTATTTTTATAGTTCCTTTTTTCTTTCCTGTGAATGAAGAATGTAGTATGGTAAATGAATTGTCCAGAGTCTTACAATCTGTTGATCCTAGACTGCAACACAGAATTAATCACAGCTTGTTTACCCTTCTTCCAGTATTCACTCAGCATTAGATTTTATTTTTGCATTATGCCTTTTCTCCTACAGATTCAGAAATACCAATTGTATGAAAGCCTCATTCTTCTTTAAAAAATGGATTTATAAAGTTTGGTCAAGGTGTTTTAAATTGTTTTAAGGTTAAAATTGCTATTTTATATTAGTTTCAGGTACTTGAACAAATGTACCGTAGCTAAAGTAAATAAGGCACTCATTTATTATGTAAGACTAATTATAGTCTTTGCATTTGTATTTATTTTGAGTTTCTTCATGTCTCCTAATGAAAAGAAAAAAAAATTCTATCATTTGTGGCAAGTTACTTATCACTGTTTGTCTTTTTGGAAAACGGATACTATTTGGAAATTTATTTTTCATATTTGTAAAAGTTTTATCAAACCCACTACTGCTCCCATAAAAGCAAAATCAGACTTGGATTTTAAGGAAGTTTGCATTGAAGGAATTTATTGAGCTAATATCTTTCACACAATTTTAAAATTGAACATGACTTCTTTATAGTAAATGAGCAGGATTGGGCTTTATAGTTTCAGCTATCTATAAGCATTATTTACCTCTTAGTTTGTTGAAAAGGAGGAACCATAAGAGCAGTGACAGCTCACTGAGTAAGTCTGTGGCAGAAGTGGGATTTGAACTTGAGTTGATTTCTAGGCTTATTCAGAGTGCCAGAGGTCAGAGTGTCCTCAGAGGTCTCAACCATTGCTTTTTCTCTCCTTCCTGTGTTTGAAATGTGTTCTGGGAATCAGTGTCCTGTTAAATCCCTCCTTGATGCATGTCCCATTTATTACTATTGATTTCAATACAATGGACAGTAAATCTATTTGACTGCACAAAAGAAATAAAATAGTGGAGTGTAGATTCAAAACTTAAGCTCTCTAGTCATAGAATTTAATTTAGTGATCTCATAATATGAAATTTTAGTCTAAAACTTAAACATCTAGAGAGAAAACATACATGGTCAATTTTGACTGTTAGAATGCTTAAAATGGTATGAAAGTGATATTGTTATATGACAAATCAGTTGAGTATTGTCTCCAGAGAAACAGCTTGGCAGGAAGTATATTGGTGCATATGGTAATTTAGAGTTTAATTGGAAGCCACGTTTCTGCTAACAAAGTTTACAAGACTGTAAATTTAAATGTAGAATTTTTGTAGGCAGTATGCATTGACAAATATGTTTAATGGTAATATATCTAGTACTGAGTCTTGGGACAGGTCAATAATAATGTGTATATTGATAGCAATGTAGGAGATGTTACTTGGTGCTATAGCTAAAATCCATGTTATCCCCTTAATCATAATTACATTAATATTGACAGGCCTTTCACAATACCCACATTATTATTGATAGATTTCTGTCAATAACATGTTTTTAAATAAAATATATTCATTCATGATTTGTACTATGCTCTACAGTAGCTCTAAAATAGATCCTGAAGATTTCCACTTTCTTCAGTGAGATAAAGTCATTTGTTTTGTTTTCTGAATGTGAAATAGATGGAAAAGTTCTTATTTTGGGGAATGAAAAGCATAAAATGAAAACATGGGCTGTTTAAGAGATAAGGTTATATGTTGCTTTTTGTAAATGAATTTTCAAGAGTTTCCTTTTTTTTTCCCCTGTGGGGGAAAAAAAGGTTGTGTGACATGTCTAGTGATAAAATGTCAGCAGGAGATCTTTTTAATAGTTTTTAGTGCTGGATCATTCTGTCTTAAACATATTTATGTG